ACTGTCGCCTCAGGCTTGCTTGGTGGGGGTTCGGGCCGGTTACATGTAAAGTGCTTTGTGACAATTTGCTGTTAAAAGCACTATATAAAATAAAAATAAATTGAATATGTGTACTTAATAAAGTGAGTCCCACCTGGTACTAGCCATGGATGTGTACCTAATAAAGTGGACCCTGCCCAGTACTAGCTATGTGTAGCTAATTTAAGGGTCACTGACTCTAAGCTGCTGGCTAAGATAACAAATGCAGGAAATCTTCAGACCACGTGTCAAGTCATCCTGCTGATCTTCCATCCAGGTTGCTTTCAGGTGCAGAGATGTCCGTACGTCACAATCCAGTGTGAGGAGGGGAACAGATGAAAAAATGATGAGCGGATATCCCCCCCCCCTGCCCCTCCCACCATTTGTGCATGTAACAAACACAGTCATTGCCAATGTGTAAAAGAATCATTTGCCCTCATCTCTGGATGTTAGAAAAGCATCCTGACTGTGGATAACCGGAGCGACAGGAATCATGTTCAGGAAATTAAAAGGTATTTTTTTAAAGGACAGGATTTCTGTGATTTTAGAGAGAAACAATGATAAAACAACAGAAGACACATTCTGGGCATATTTAACCTCCTTTCTCTGTATTTTCCCAGGACCTGTTATTTTCCTTCTGATGTTTCTGGACGTACAGGTCATAGTTGGCTCCACACCGATCTGTGTCCATGGACACACGGGGTGTCAGACACTCTCCTTGGCCGACTTGTTCGACAGGGTGATCCAGCACTCCGCCCGGGTGCATGGCCTCTCCAGCGACCTCCATTCAGAGTATGTGAGTCCCTTTCACTTTATTTTACCTCCCAGGGGACACTTTTATCCAGAAGGATCTGGGCACTGATTACAACATGGTTTGAGTAGGACTTGACAGATTTTGTAAACGGCTCAGATCATTTTTATTCACAGTTGGATGATTTTTGTTATTTTTTTGTGGAACTACTAATATAGATTCCGGTGTATGACAGCACGGTGACTCAGTGGATGTTTCCTCACACCTCTGGGGTTGGAAGTTCAAATCCCACCTCTGAGTTCTGTGTGATTGCGTGGAGTTTGTTGGTTCCTCAGATGCTGTGTGATTGTGTCCTAAAGACGTTAGGCTAACTGACAGCTCTAAAACAGTCTGTGTGCCATGTGAAGGAGTAGCCATTTACGTATGTCCCTGTCTCGTGCCCTGCGGTGCACTCCAGCCCTCCTGCCACCCAATCCAGGAGAACTAGTTGGGTGGATGGAGTCACAATTATTTTCAGCATTTTTTGTCGTGTTTTGCATTCCATTTTTACTCTAAACTCTTTTATTGTCTCTCTGTCTTCCCTTTTTCCCAAAGGAACAATACTTTCTTCCAAGCAAAAACAAAATTAGCAAAATCAATCGGAACTGTCATACTTCCTATATATTAACACCTAATGGCAAAGAAAATGCACAGAGACTGGCAGTGAGTATGGATACACTGGTAGTGGCTATAGATGATACCACATTGACAGTATGGGTGATACCATGTTGATAGAATGGGTGATATCCTGTTGACAGTATGGGTGCTACCATGTTGACAAAATGGGTGATACCATGTTGACAGTATGAGTGATACTATGCTGGCACTGAATATGGGTGACTCAGTGAGTTTGAGTGATTCTGGATCTTTCTTCCTGTCTATACCCCCCACCCAAGACTTTACTTCTCAACAACCTTTTTACACCCTTAACACCCTTTTAAGTCCTTAATTCCCAATCCTCCTTCCATGATGAACCTTAGAACATAACATGAATGAATGCCCCCCACTGTTCAGGGGGAAGACCTGACCGGCGTGATCCTGAAGTTGCTGCTGGCCTGGAGGGATCCGCTCTCCCAGTTCCACCGGAGCATGGCGCAGCACGAGGACTTCACCAGCTTCAGCGGGAACAAGGCGCTGGAGATGAGCGACATGGTGCAGCAGCTGAGGATGGGGGTGGAAAGGGTGGCGGAAACAGTAAGAGAGGGAGACTCTCCCGGGGATAGCAAGTGCCGCAGGCATCTGAATATAAATACACCAGCAGTCAGCTTTAGGAGTCTCTTTTCATGAGATTTTTTACCTCGAGTGCTCCGACTGTTGGTGAATTATTATAGTGAACATCTCCACTCACTGGAGCCCAGATTTCACATTTTCCACATGGTCAATGATCCATAAGGCTTTGGTTCATTTTAATGAAATGTTTACACAGGTTATTTAAGCAAAAGGTCCAAAAAGAAAATTATCCTGGAGCTGTGTTGCATTAAACATTTGATTCATTTACAGTCATGAAATAGGCAGAGTTATCACACAGGGACTTTCAGATTATGAACAATTATTAGTTGGACAAAATGATAAATGTCAACAGTATGCCAGCCATTCCTTAACCGTGACTGACAAGTGTCAACACCCACGAGGGAGAGGTTTGGTGTTTCTAGGCTCTTGAAAGGCTACAAGACATTAAACATTTTGTCAGGGAATCCTATGAACTGGTATGAATTCCAGCCAGTCTCCTGTGGTAGCTACTGAGCATGCTCAGTGATTAGTGGTGTACTCACACTAGGAGCATGCTGACTCCCATAGTCCTGTTAGTCTGACTAGCGTGAGCGCTGCACTTTGTGAGGTGGGCCATTGTGCAGTTAGTACGCATCTGGTGTGATTGCTAACTGTGCTTGGGTACAGAACACAGACCTGACATCAGTGATGTGACTGACACACGCATGCACACAATTACACAATACATGAACCGAACCCGGAAGTAACGGATCTGTTAGGCTGTATAGATTGTTTCATTTTCTTACAGAAAAGCGCCCATAAATGTTACAGCAGTTTTTCCCCCTTTCTTCCATTCATCTGCTCAGGGTATAATTGAGTTTCAGCAGTGGTTCAGACATATTGGGTCCATGGTTCTGATTCGATGGTTAGCGTTAGCAATATTAGCATTAGCGATGTTTGTAATATGGTAATTAGTACCGGTATTAAAGGAATGTAACACCGAAAAAAATGCAGTACCAGTAACCCATGCAACAAAAGTCTGCACTACTAAATTCTGAGATCTTTGGTAAAATGTGGGACATGCAGCACAAATAAATATCACTGTGTTGCATACTTAATAAATCTACGTGTCGTTGTATTCAAAAAGATTCCAAATAAGCCACAAAATTAGGACATTAATCATAAAGTCTATTCTGCTGTGCAATAGTACTTTCCTTCCTATGTTTTCTTCAATGCAAAAAAAGTTGCACGATGATGACCGTTAAGTGCAATGTGAGCACAGACCACCAGGGAAGTTGAGAGGGGCAATCATGCACAGTAACATAAGTGAGTGTGAGTGTGATTACGCCCTAGGTCTGAGCATGCTCAGTGATTAGTTTACATGTCTGAGCATGCTCAGTGATTAGGTTATATGTCTGAGCATGCTCAGTGATTAGGTTATATGTCTGAGCATGCTCAGTGATTAGGTTACATGTCTGAGCATGCTCAGTGATTAGGTCTGAGATGCTTTGGAGTAAAATAAGATGTTATTGTGTATATTTTCTGAATGGCATTAAAAAATGGGGTTCATATCTATCTGATGATTCTTAATGACTTCTTAGAGAATCATGGCTGATCTTCTTGCTTGCCCCCCATCCCCAACAGATGCACCTCCTGGGCATGATCAGTAACTCGGTGCGTGGTCTGATCTCCAACGAGGCCCTCGGCCCCCAGGCCTCGAGCAGCGAGGCACGCCCCATGAACGACCAGCAGCTTCTGTACTGCTTCCGCAGGGACTCCAACAAGATCCAGATCTACCTGAAGATCCTTAAGTGCAGGATCGCCCCTGAGCAGGGATGCTGAGCCCCGGATGCAGCAGAGGACCCGGGAGACACAGGCGGTCATGCGCCCAACACGGGAAATATAGCAACTCTTTCGGTTTGATCACTCTGTGATCATGCTGTGGTGTTACACGGCATAGCTAGTATTTTTCATGTGAAACATAATACAACGTCAAAACTGTATTTTCAAATAAACTCAGTTCCTCCAGCAGCTCCATGTCTTATGACTGTTTCTGTGACTATGTTTGTTTTTTGTTCAACCCTATTGTTTGATATATCCATCCATCTGTCTTCCATAACCGCCTATTCAGCCCAGGATTGTGGTGAACCTAGAGCCTGTCCCAGAATGCATGGGTCATGAGGCAGGGAGCACCCTGGAATTCATTCCAACATTGTCATTCTGCACTGGAAGATCTAAGATGGCCTTAAAATCTGAGGATTTACAATGTGGTCTTGGAATATGTTTACATGTCATAAAACCCACAAGAAGTCATATAACTGTCAGTCATCTAGAATGAAATTACTTCTCTTTACACTGAGCAATGGTTTTACATTTTCCCTTTTATTCTGGAGATCTGTTTCCATGTTAATAAGCTTTACTTAGACATCAGTATAATAGTAAATGCATTGTAACTAATATTTCTGGTTTCAATGGAAAATAATGAAGTAATTACAAATTTAGCCTTTATGATGGACAAACATTTTGATTCTTATAACACCAGCTTATAAGGAAGATGCAAACTCTTTAGAAATGCAAGATTCAGAAAAAGTGTATTAAGAACAAACCTCACTAATATGTACAATAATAATAAACATTTTTACATAAAATTGGGATCATAAAATTTTCGCCTGTGATTTTGTGATTTGTAGATTTGTGTTTCTCTGTTCTCTTCAGAATGGATTTATTGCTTTTTCCTTTAATTTTGAGCCTGTCAGACTGAAGTGACAGATTCCCGAAAGGCATCAGCACCAGACAGTGTGAACATATTGAGAAGTGTCCCAGTCTGTCCTCTCACTCTATATTCAGAGCGGAGTGTAAAATGCTTACAGCTATGTCCCATAATGTCCACAGGAAGTTGGGGGGCGGGACTTCCTGTTTTTGTTTGTTGGCTTCCCCAGGTGTTAGCTCCAGCTCAGGGTGGGGGGGTCTCCCTTGGAGCACTCCAGAGTAACGGTGGCGAGTCCCTTCGAACGTCCCCTGGCTTCTCTCACGGACGGCCATGCTTTTGACGCGCCACTGTGCATCTCCTGGGTCTGAAGTGATCCTTGCATCTCCTGCCGCTCCTCTTCCTCCCCCATCCCTGCCTCGCTCCGTAGTGAAAGCTCCTCCATCGGAGTTCTCAGACAGAGAGTCTCCTTCTCCTTCGAGTTCCTCCATTTCATCCTCCGATTCTGGAACCAGATCTTTACCTGTCCGACGCAGAAATGAGCATGAGAAAATGACCTGGATGTGTGGGTTGCATGCAGAATCAGCATATATGGGCCTGTAACAATGCATTATGTAATATGCTGTTTTATGTAGTAACTCGGCAGAATATGACTAATTGAATAATAATAAAGAGTAAGGTAATGTTGCAATATAAAATTATAATGTAGTCTACAAATTTGTAACATTTTGTTGAGTTGTTACATAATGTGCTGTTATTCTGTAATGCGTTGTTACACGGTGTGTAAGTGTGTAACAATGTACTGTGTAACAATGCATGATGTAAAAACATTTTTTTGCGTTATTACATAATGCATCATCTTTACAGAATGCATTGTTACAGGGCCGTGTGAATGATAGGTGTGTATGAGCTGTGTGCACCCAGATTGCACTGGGAGGCGGGGCTTGATGATGCAGCAGTCATACCTGGGACTCCTTCAGGCCCAGATCGGCCGCAAGCTTATTTCTGTCTGCTTTGCTGATGTATTTTTGCCTCTCAAAGGTTTTCTCCAGCGCCCTCCTCTGGACCTCGGAGAAAACAGCCCGCCTGAGGATTCCCCGCAGAGCCTTGGGGGTTGCCTCTGGGGACAACAGCGGTAGACCAGCTCTCTCTGCAAGGTCAAAGTTCAACATTTACTCCCACATAAAAAATAACCAAAATCTCCAAATATCTCAAATTGTCTTACTGCATATTAAGTTTCAGGAGGAAAAAGGTTTCTTTTCAGATTAATAAGGTTGTGGGGGTCATGTTGTACTTCTGCTGCATGGTATTTGTGAGACATACCTCACTTTGTTGGTCATATGCATTGCCACATGACATTAATGGATATAAGTGACATAACAGTCTGGCAGGGAAGCCATTACAGACAAAAATACAACAAAACAGTAACCAAACAAAGCAAACATAAACAAAAATGAACAAACAAAACAAAAGGAAGTACAGTACCATATGCAACTCTTGAGCTCTAGCCACTGTCAGCAGGGTGGACCTTTCCAGATTTTCTTTACGACCTTGGTGTCTTTAAGAGTATGGCTGTGTAGGGCATCCTGTTGTGCGAGAAACACCCTATATCACCCTACCAGCGCTGTCGTTAACTGCCTTGATGTTGACACGCCATCTTTATTTTTGTGCCGCTATTCCCTTGTTCGATTTGGTGTGCATATACAGTGTATGTCTGTGAACTTCTCTACTCTTTCCCAGTTTACATTGCATGTGATGTATGTTATGTACTGTATGTATGGATGTCAATTTTCTGCACAAATGACTGTATTTATCACGTATTTTGCACTAACCCTTTATTTGCATTTATTATCTATTTTCCTTTATTATCCAAACTTGTTTTTTTATGTATCTTGTGTCTTGTATTTGTTCTTTGCGCCATATCCTAATTGTTAGTTGTCTATTGCCATGGTGTCTCCAACAGTGACAAGCAGTGCTAACAAAAATATCCACTGGCCTTAGTCATGTGACAATAAAGGTTCGGATAACAAAAAATACTGCTGTCAGAATCTCAAAAGAGACCTTTTCCGGGATCATCATTCCATGATTGACACAGGCGAAACATTTCGGTTTCCAAGCTCATCTCGAGACGACGCACATGACCGCTATGACTGGGTCTGCTGAAGCAGTCACGGCTTGAGATTTAAATCACATGGAAGGTCGCCGTGACCAGAACTTCCCTTTAAAAAAAAAAGAGCTCAGGCTCTATAGGGGAGCCCATACAAATCAGCGGCCAAAGGGGAATGAGGGACACAGAGGCTGGGATCAGATCCGGGGTCCCCTCCTGAAAGGGGAGCGGGCGATCAGTCATCCCCAAAGGCTTCTGAAGGCAATCCCACGGTGCCTCTCTCTCACAGGTGCATGAACAACAAAAGTCAAGTTGGACAATTAGCCTTGCCCATCGATGAATGGTTTATTAATCTGTACGACAAATCTGCCGCGGGGAGGCACGCGGACCACCGCGGAAGAGCGCGTCAAGGCGGTTAGTCACGCTCCCCGTTCCTCCATTTTGGCTCAATAGCTCCACTTAAACGCATGATTAATAGGTCACCGGGAGGAATGGCAGCGTCTCGGGCCCCGGTCCCCGCCCGCGACCCTCGGGGCCCCCAAATGGACGACCTTTTCTCATTCAGCTCCTTTCCCTCTAAAACAAGCCCCCCCCCACTCAGTGCATCTTTTCACTCGCAGGTAGGAGCAGCTCTATGGGAAGATGAGCTACCATTAGTCTATAAAAGTCACTTCCATTCATTTCTTTATGTCGCCCATGAAGGGAGCTTAAATGGGCCGGCAGTGAGCGTTAGGGACAGAAGGAGTGCTTCGTCTTTCTGTCGAAACAAAGAGGTAGCCCCGCCCCCCCTCGGCCTAACCCCACCCCCCCATCCTGCCACGCCGGAATGTTCTCAGAGTTCGCAGCTATGATGAAAAATCGCAACGGGGTCGCGTGTGGACGGCTAAATTGAATGTGCTGATTGGTCACAGGTCCGCCGGGCATTGTGGACCAGCTCGGCTCTGTGGGAAAGTACCGGATCGCTAATAGGTGTCCAGGAATTCCAGGCTCGTCCCGGCGCCAGCATTT